ATCGCACGCTTGTGCCAGAGCGTCGGGACCAAGACAGGCATGTTGTCAATGCCAGGCGGATCCAAGCAATGGCAAGAGATTAGCATTGCATCGAGGGTCTTCACGGCGAGCGAGATCAAATCGCTGAAGAGCGGCGACCTGAGTGAGAAGGCGTGCATACGCCTGGTCGCCGCTCGGTGCAAGCTGATCGGCGCCCACACGCTCTCCGAGAGCTCCAAGGGCAAGATGGCCGCGCTCGTGGCGTGGGGCAGCGGCAAGGGGCATGGGGGCGATTGGCTCAGGCTCCTCGGAGAGGTGAAGGGTGCCATCTCCAAGGCCATCACGTGCAAGGGTTGGTCCACGCTTGGGTACGCCACGGTGTGGAACTTCGACCGCATCGAGGACATGTCGGCTGAGCCGTGGTGGAAATCAGCTTACAAGGACGATGGGCCCGCCTTGGAGGAGATCCAGACGGACGCGCCAGACTACGTGAGGAAGTCGAGCAGGCGTTACGCGGCGAAGACCTCGCCTGCAGCTGCAGCGCCCCCAATGACAGCCCCAGACCCTACGGCTGGCGGGCAGTTGCAAGTCATGCAGGCCCTGTTCGGTGCACCGCGGTGCGCGGCGCTCTTCGCCAACTCGGCGGCCGCGGCCCTCAGGCCGCCCGAGCCGCCTGCGCAGCCGCGCGTGGAGCTGGAGCCCCCGAAGCCAAAGCTCCCGCCGCGCGAGGAGCCGCAGCAGGAGCCGAAGCTTCCGCCGCGCGAGGAGCCGCGCGATGAGCCGCGCGATGATGAGCCCGAGCCAGACCTGACCGACGAGGAGGAGAAGCTCAGGGCGCTCCTCGCCAAGAAGGCCAAGACCGCCAAGGCGAGGAAGCGCCCCTCCGCGGCTGGCGATGGCGTCGGTGACGCCGAGGGCGGGGCAGGCGTCGAAGACGCCGAGGGGGCTGTGCCAATGAAGAAGGCGCGGCCCCCTGCCATGCGGCGACCCGCGGCTGCCGTGCCAAAGCCCGCCGTGCTGCCCAAGCCGCCGACGTGCGAGTGCAACGCGCCGTACAGGTGCGGCTACGTGATCTACAAGCCTTCACAGAAGGTGTTCAGGGCCGTTGTGGGGAGGGCAGATCGCCGCGTCCGCTTCGACCGCAATGCGACGATGAATCGCATTGAGGCTTGGAGCGCGGCGCTGGCGTGGATCGACGCCAAGTGTTAGGTGCTCGACGCGGGGAGGGGGAGGACCAGGGGGTTGTTGAGGACCAGCAGGGCTGGGAGCTCGCATCGCAGCTGCAGCGCGGCGGTGGGCGGCACCACATCGACGAACTCTCTCTTGCTTGTATGGCGTTGCACCATGATGTCTAAAACACAAGTCTGTTGCGATCTTTTCATCGCAAGTCGCATGCATCAATATGCAACACTCCTTTCTCTTGCGAGCTACCGTCGCACTTCGTATGCATCACTATGCACCTACATGTCCTTCTGATGCGACGTCGTATCATGCCATATGCATCGATATGCAACGTGCACTTCTGTTGTGATCTATCGCCTCGCTGCATTCAGATGCATCATGCAGCGTGCCCCTACCATAACGCGACGCATGCATCCTATGATGCGCATTGGCATCGTTATCGAGTCTGTAGCCATTTGGGCTGAAACCATGGCCGCGTCCGCCGCCAGGAAACGCAAGGCGGATGAGGCGCTGGTGGAGCTCCACAGGGGCTCATACCTGTCACAGCGTGCTCTGTCGGGTGTCCTAAAATATGTGCGAGACCATGGGTTGCCCGACAATATTTCACGGAGCTCACAATACAGGGCAAACGAAAACATCATTGCCAAAGAGTCGAACGCATATGGGAACGTCTTGCGTTGCATAGACACGCCTTTAGTCAGTGGTAGAACTTTCGAGAACTGGGTGTGCTGTCCTGGGCCATTTTTGTATTCCTGCTGCAAGGCTAGCGCTCCAGTCAGGGAGATGTTTCGCCGCTCACTTCAGGAGCACCCATGCAGCTTGGCGTCGCCGTGGCACATCATTTTATATTTCGATGGTATTTCACCGCGAGACCCCCTGGCGAAGGGGAAAGATTATCGGGGGGGTGATGCTGTTTACTGGTCGTTCGCTGAGTTCGACGAGTCCTTGGGTAACGAAGATGCGTGGTTCACGCTTAGCACTGCGCGGTGCGCAAAAATAAAAAGCATCCCAGGTGGCATCGGGCAGTGCATCAAGATGACCCTCAAAGAAGTTTTTTTTAAATTCTGCTGGTGGTTTCAATTTTGAGACGAGCGGTGTTACATTAGACGTGTCAGAGAACGGCGACGCAACGTCGCACGCGACGATCGTCGCGAAGCTGTCGTGCGTCATAGGGGACGAAGAGGCATTGCGGGAACTACACATGAACAAAGGGCACGCTGGTTCCAAACCCTGTGCGTTATGTCGCAACGTCTTGAATAGAAAGTTTGATTATTTGACATATGATGTATCTGGTTTCTTTGTGACAGACGCGTGCTTGGATGCGTCAAAGATACGCAGAAACGATGACGCGACAATCATCGCGATCCTGGAACGACTTCGGCCCGATTGGGATAAATATCAGCGGGGGGAGTTTTCAGAGGGGCAGTACACGACCATCACACAGCACAAAGGATGGAACTTCCACCCCGAACACATAGCGCTGGACCCAGGTTTGCGATATCTCCCTGCGTCATTCATTTGCTTTGACTGGATGCATAGGTTTTTTTGTGTCTGGTATATTCGACAGAGAAGTAAAAGCACTTTTAGGGCATGCGCAGTTCATGTGTTTGTGTGATGCAATGGAGTTGCATGAGTATTTCATGAAGTGGACGTGGCCGAGTAAACGCCACTCAGCCGCAACTGTATGGGAGACTGGTGAGCTCCAAACAAGTGCCTCAGAAGAGATCTCTGCGTTGCCTGTTTTGTGCAGGTATATTCGGCAAGTAATTGCCATGCATCCTTCATCGGATCAAGTGGCCCCCCAGATCGCAAGTATGCTGGCATTGCAAGATGCCGTTGACATAATCATCACGGCGGCGCGGCGGCTTCCAGTCACGACCGCGCAGATTGAGTCAGCGATAGTGAAACATCTTCGGTGCCATCAGGACGCATATGGTGAAAGCTATTGGGTGAATAAGCACCATATGGCAACACATCTGCCAGAAATGTTTGAAAAACATGGGTCGCTCAGTTGCTTTGTCCAGGAACGCAAGCACAAAAACGTAAAACGTTTCGCCAAAGACCACATGTGCAAGAAGGGGCCAGAGAAGGCTCTCATGGTCCAACTCACTGCGCAGCACGCGCACGATTTAAAGACCATGCGTGTTTCACCTGGCTTAGTCGACCCAACGAAAGCAACACAGAAGCTGCTGAATGCGTTGAAACGCATGTGCCCTGGGACGCAGACAGCCGTCTCCAGCATCGAAGCCATGACAGATTTCGGCCGCATCAAGCGCGGTGATATCGTACTTCTGGGGTCGGGCGGGATGCATGCAGCAATGCAAGTGTGGTTTCACGTGAAATGCGACGATGGCGAGTCGCAGGTGCTTGTCCAGCAGCTTGCAACTAAGCATGTGAACGCCGCTGAAGGTTTTTCCAGACACATCTTTTTAGATGATACAGACCCTGTTCTGATGCCTCTGACCTCGCTGAAAGCTCCTGTGATTTACAGGAAAATAGAGAACGACATCACGTGCATTTGGCCAGTAGAATACAAATCGCGATGTTGCTAACATGATGCGCTGCGGACCGTCGCGTTTGCCCCAGGACGATAAAAACATCTGAAGGCCCCTGAGCAGATCCAAATCGACGAAGCGCCCAATCATGATGCCCCAATTTCCAACTACATGAGATGCAAAAACATAACATAAACATTAAAAAACAGCTTCAAACTGGCCAAACCTAACTAGTTATAACTCCGTTAATAACAATTAGAAGTTCCGCTAACTGTTACTAACTACGCAGGGCCTTCAGGCAGAGGTCGGGAAGTAGCGTCAAACCTCCCGCCGTTCTTTGTCACGACTCGAAGGGGCGCCAGGCCTTCTGACCCCATCTGGGCGGCCTGCATCTTCTCCCGCCTAGAAGCCTCTCCGCCCTACACTCCCCGGACCTCTCCTGTGCGCTCCCACCAAAATTCCGAGGCGAAGCCAGCGGTGGCGACGAGGGACTCAGGCGAGGGTAGCGGTGCCGGTGCTTGCATTTCCCTCCTCCGACCCCATCTGCCCCGACCCCATCCGGGAGGCCAAGAGCCCCGGCGAGGGCCCTGGAACCACCTCTTCCTCCCGAGTTGTTGTTTGACAGTCCCGAGGCCCGGTAGAAAGTGTCCACGGAGGCCGAGACTAGCGAAAGAAGTTCCGCCATCATTTTTCCAGGACCCGAGGGGGTCTGGGGTCTGAGGATCGTCGGTCTTGGGCGCCCCGGAATCTTGCCGTCGCTCGGACGTCCATTCCCCGTGCATGCTTCAGCTTCAGGCGTGCTTCTTTTTCTCCCAGGATGATCCAAAGATGCTCCCCGATGGCCCTCGCCGAGCAAAGAAATACACACACACATACGTCCGAGCGATGCCAAACTTCCGATCGCCCCGGGACTTTGGACTTGGACGCCCGAGATGGGCACGGAGCAAAAACCGGTACAATGCCCAGCAACAAGTGTTGTCAAAATGCCACGGCGGCCGCTGCTGCGCAGGCGGCCTCCGGTCTCAAACGGACACCGGCCCCGGCGACGCCGACGGCGAGCCCTGCTTCCAGCAGTGCACAGCAACTGCCGTCGGTCTTGCATGCCCCCTCTTCCAGTACCCATGGCCGTCCCGACCCCAGACCCCCTATACGCCATGCTTTTCTCATGACGCCGACCCCCAGAGGCCTGAACCCCTTCCCCGGGACCGGTTCTTCGTCCCGAGTCGTCCTTTGACGGCCCTCGCAGGGCCGGCATGGGGCTCCCAGAGGCCGAAGCCTCTGACAAACTTCCGCCGTGATCTCTTCGCCACGCGAGGGGGTCTGGGGATGGGAGGCCTGGCGCTCCTCGAGGGCCCCGGCCTGGGCGCGCACGCCGGCGCGCTCCGGAGGCCCCGCCCGCCCGCGGGCGGCTCCATGCCGCCCGCCAGCCGGCGCGCGGGGGCGGCGCGCGGGGGCGGCGCCCCTCCCAGACCTCCTCGGGCCAGGGCAAGGAGGAAGTGATCAGCAACAAGAAAGCCCCTGACGCTTTGGGAGGGGACCCATACAATCCTCCTCCTCCTCCTCCTCCTCCTCCTCCTCCTCCTCCTCCGCCTGTTCCTGGGTCGTTCGATCCCCTCCCCACTTCCTCCTCAGTCGGTCGGTCCCCTCCTCGCGCCCTCCTGGGTCGGTCGACACCGTCCTCGCCACTTCCTCTGGAGTTGCACGGAGCCCCCTCTCGGACATCCCACCCACCCGGGCCAGAAACATGAGGGACCAGACGGGGACCTCGGTGAGGCCACGTCTTCATCGTGTTATGAGGATTAGGGATTCGTTTGTGCTCGGTGATGAAGGGCCCAGGGGCACACAGATGAATAGACGTGTTCTTCTTCGGCGTTTCGACATTGGGCGGAAGGGGGGGGGGTCTGGCTCCGAACCCCTACTATTGGCGCGACCGTCTGCAACAGTGCGCCCTGTGGGGGAGACTCCACCTGCTTCAAACCGGTGCAAAAAACAGCCAGGATCTCTACTCCATGGGGGGGGGGGGGCGAGGGTCCGCACCGATCGGTAAAACAGTGAGGACAACGATCACAAACCCCCAGGATTCCCCATCTGTTTGCGTACTTTCTGCGGCTTCGTCTTCCCCTCCACTGCCTGCATGATCCTGAGATATTAATGGAAGTCCACATGTCTGTGTGTCTGTATGTATGTTTCTCGCCTGGGGAAAAAAAAACCTGAGATCCTGGCGCTGCGATGTTTCACAACGAGCGTTTTGCACCCGATGTCGGGCCCCAGGGCCCTCAAGGGCCGATCTGGCATGAAAAATGATGCAAGAACATGGAGTCACGGCCTCCGATGGTGATATGCTGCAGTGTTGTATGCTCTGCAACGTCGGATCTGAAGGGCTCTCCCCTCCCAGACCTCGTCGACCCATGGAAAAAAGAGAAGGAGAAGGAGAGGCTGAGATGACCGCGCGGGCTGACAAGGGGATAGGGGTGCTTAGACGTCGACGCTGAGGAAGGGCTGGGTGTCTCCTAAACCGTGAGTTACAAGGTGCAAGGGGGCGAGGAGGAGGAGGAGGAGGAGGAGGAGGAGCAGGAGGAGGAGGAGGAGGAGCAGGAGGAGGAGGAGGAGGAGGAGGAGGAGGGAGGAGGAGGGAGGAGAGGAGGAGGAGGAGGAGGAGGAGAGGGAGGAGGGGGGGGGGAAGGAGGAGAGGAGGAGGGAGGAGGAGAGGAGGAGGAGGAGGAGGAGAGGAGGAGAGAGGAGGAGGAGGAGGAGGAGGGAGGAGGAGGAGGAGGAGGGAGGAAGAGGAGGAAAAGGAGGAAAAGGAGGAAAAGGAGGAGGAGGAGGAGGAGGAGGAGGAGGGAGTTCCCATAGGCCTCTCGACGAGCAGCGCCTCCGAGCGACGGCAGGCGGCCCACGTGCTCGCCGCGTGCCGGCGGGGGGGGGGGCGAAGAGCCCAGGCCTGCTGCGGCGCACCTTCGGGCGGCCTCGCCGGACCCGCCGCGCCCCTGTCCGCGTCGAGCCCGTGGCGAATCCAGGTCGGGTTCGTCGCATCCGCGTCAATTGAAGAGGCCCACAAACACACAAATAAATACACACAAATAAAAAGATTCCCCATATTTTCCCATATTTTCTGAGTTTTTGTCTTCCCCACCACTTCCCATATTTTCCCATATTTTCCTGGGGATCGACGATTAATTGTGTCTGTGTGTTTCTTCCCCTCCTGATCAATGCCTGCGTCGGATCCGTGGCGAATCCACGCCCCGTCGAGTCCGCATCGGGCTCGCGTCGGGCACAAAAAAACGGCCACAATCTTTCAATCAGGACGGGCGAGGCCCCCCGAAGATGCAGCATGACGAGGGGCCCGGACCCCCTTCGGGTCCTGGAAAAGTAATGCTGGGAAGCTCTTCGCTCATTTCGGCCTCCGGGGGCCCTCGCCGGCCTCGGGGCCGTCAAGAAACGACTCGGGGCGGGAAGCCAGTCCCCGGGGAATGGGTCGAGACGACGTCTTCTGGGGGTCGACGTCATTAAGAAAACATAGCGTCGGGGGTCTGGGCTCAGAACCGGCGAGGTCCTGACGGCCGGGGCTTCGGACCTCCCCAGCGAGCTGCCGCCATGGTGGTCCTGAGGTGGCACGGGGCTCAGAGGCGGCTGCTGAGGTGGGTTGCACCTGGCCTGGCCTGGCCTGGCTGCATACACTGAGGGATCTGGGCCCTCTCCCATGGGGCTTCTCAGGATAGCCACAAGACACCGTATAGTGTATCATCTTCCAACTGGTTCTCCAAGCGGCCTGTGCTGAACAATGTGTATGCCCCGTGCCTCTGGGCACGGAGTGAGCGCGTCTTCAGGTTTGCCTATAGGACAACTTCCGAGATCTACTGGGGCTTCCCGCGTGCCACCTGGGCTCGAGGAAGTGTTCTCGCATGACTTTGTTGGGGCCCAAGAGAAGACTGGCCAAGAGGGCCCCACGAGGCCCCCAAGACGGTCCAAGAGGGCCCCGAGTTGCCGAAAGATCGCCCCAAGACGCCCAAGATGGCCTCAAGATGGCCGCAGAGGCCTCCAAGACGCCCCAAGAGGCCTCCAAGAGGCCTCGCAAGAGGGAAGACGAACGGAAAAACCCAAGCTTTCCGCCCAGGGATGCCCCCAGGAGGCCCCAAGAGGTGCCCAGAGGGCCAGAGGGCCCCAAGGGCCACCAAGAGGCCCCACGAGGCCGCCCCCAAGGGACCCAAAAGAGGGCCCAAGAGGCTTCAAACCGGCCCCCAAGAGGCCTCCAAACTGCCTCCAAGAGGCCTCCCACGAGATCCCAACGAACATTGAATAGGTTTCATACCCACAACCCAGGCACGTTGGCGGGATGGGCCGAAGGCCATTACACATACAGTGTGTTTGGGCCGCCATTTGCGACTGAGTGGTATACAAACATAAAATAGTTTAGTGGACATGTTCCTGACTCCAGAACGAATGCCCCAAGGGGCTATGGGAGAATGCAGATATGGTCTAAGTGGGCGGAGCCCACTTCACAGAGATGTCTGATCACCTTGAGCTGCTAAGAACACATCTTAACCGCTGATGTGCCAGGTGATGCCAGATATAGCCCGTCCTATGAGCATCGTTGAACCGAACCCTGTTCCCATTGGCGTGGCCTGGGCCCCACTGGCCAATTATCTTATAGATGGGGATATGGGTTGCTCCCTCTGGGCTGCCAAGGGCCAATCTCCCCAACTGGGGCGGTGGGGTGGTGGGGCTGAGCTACTATGACCTCGTGGGAATGGGGACAGGAGAAACGAAACTGACCTGACCAAGGCATCCGGTCGCTCCAATTTTTTCGATGCGCGGGCACACCCCACATCCCGCCGCTCCGACTTTTGTCGGGGCGTCGGAGCTCTGGGCAGCATCCGCCTCCAAGCCCCAGCGCCCCCGTAGCAGCCCCAGCGGTCATCTCAAGGGAGGCTGCCTCCACAGAGCCCCGACGTCACGATTTTTTTCACGACGTCGACCCCCAGAGGTCTGGACCCACTCCCTGGTGCCGGTTCTTCATCCCGAGTCGTTCTTTGACGGTCCCGAGGCCCGGTGGGGGCCCCCAGCGGCCGAAGATAGCGAGAAACCTCGTGATGTCGTCATGGCTCGAGGGGGCCTGGGTCGGTCCTCCTGCCTCCCCCGGCAAGCCCGGGCCGCCCAGGGGCGGGGGGCGGCGAGGGCGCGGCGGGAGCCGCGGCGCGCGCAGGGGGCGGCCGCGGGCCTGCACGTCGCAGCTCGTCCCCCGCCCGGCCATTCGGGCATCTCTGGCGTGGCCCAGGAGCACAGAAACAGAGAGACACGCTAGGGGAACAAAAAGTGACGTAAACATAAAAACTCGGAGGTCTGCGCGAATTTCTCGGATCGGCGCTGGGGCCCCCCGGCGGCGCCTCCGGCGCCGCCCCTGGCGCGCTCCGCGCGCCAGGGGGGGGGGGCCAGCGCCGATCCGAGAAATCCGCGCGGACCTCCGAGTTTTTATGTTTATGCCACTTTTTGTTCCCCAACAGATGTTCCCAGGTGTTATCGGTTTCTGCCTTCTTCCCCCCCCCCACTTCACACGTGTTCCCATGCCTTCCCGGGAGTCGATGATTCACTGTGCCTGTGTTTTTTTTTCCCCTCCTGAGCAGTCCAGAATGGCTCAGGAGTTGCCGTGTCTTTCCCTGCAAGGCGGCGGGCGCGCCCGCCAGCGCAAGCTGAAGATCCGCCCCCAAGAGATGGCAACCTGCTTGGGCTCGGGGGTTCCAGAGCCCGCCATGTCCTTGCCCCCTCCCTGGCGCCACTTTTTGCTTTCCTCGCCCCACTATCCTTTCCTCGCCCTCCCCTGATCAATCATTGGACACCAGCTATGCCACATCCTGACCAACATCGGGACTCGATTTTCGGCCTCCATAATGGGCAATTGCCCGGCCCTGGCACCGTCAAAACCGACTCGCGGTGAAACGCCAGCCTTGGGGGCAAGTTTTCAGTTTCCTTGGACCGCGTATTTGAAAGTCAAGTACTAGTACGCGTGGGATGCCAGAACTTTCTGCTGGTTGCAGCTGGCAAGATCGGTCGCTACCGGTTTTTCTTGAAATTCTGGTACGGCCGGACCTAAGACAGAAGACTGTGCTTCAAAACCACGAGACCCTCCGCCACCAAACTGAAGAACGTTCGGGGATATCCCCCCCAGGATGCACAAGAGCATCAGACAAACACGAAGAACAGTACCGCACCTCCCCGAACCGGCCTCGATCCTCTGCCTCGGTCAACCCGCATCGGTCACGACCGATGTCATAATCGGTCGCGATCAGCCGCGACCGATGTGGAGTGCCGAGAGGTCGCTGCCGATCGCGACCGATTGAATATGTACATATATATGCATATATGTATATGTTTACGTATATGTATGTATATATGTGTATATGTATGTGTATATATATATATGTATATTTACCGCATAGACCACCCTTCGGGT